TAATTGTTATTCTCGCTCGGTTCATATTTTTTGCAAAAGGGACACTGTCCATGACATGTTTTTTTTGTTTCTTCTTTAACTCTTGGCTAATTTAGGATGATGGTGAAAAAGGCGCTGCTGCTAAGTTGCTAAAATTAATGGAATTGGTAAAAGCGAAGAATTTATTAGTCTTCGTTGCTCGTCGCTTCTACATTGGCGTAGGTTTTGGCTCAGCACGTCGAACTGTTCTTGATGTTGCGCTTGAGGCTCTGGAAGAAAATGGCTTTTACGGCCGGGGACCAGCATTTCAGGAATTTTGGCTTTCCTACAAAAATGAATGTGATTCCGAGGCGATTAATTCCCAATTGGAAAAAACTGAAAAAAGCGTTGCTTTTTGAAGTTCTGTAAATACTGGATGATCGGGATGTCAAGAGTAATTGAACTATGTGATTTATGCGTAAGTTGCTAATACGAGGCAAAACAGACTCGTTTTCATCTTTTAGCTTAAGGCCAATTTTAAACGTTAATGCGATCTTAAACAAGTTTTTTTAATAACTGAATTAAAAATTTTTGAAAAAAAGTTGAAGGCGTGTGCATGTGTATGCATTTGTATGTGGAGCAGCATGCGTAGTGATTCTAGACCGAGTTCTTGAAAATGAGGGTTTCATAGCAAAGGTATGAAAAAAATTTTTTAACACGTATTTCCTTGACATCCCGGTCTGCTGTTTGTGCCTGTATATGCGTAGTCTTTTGTCTTTTACTTCGTACTTTTGTTTATTGCGAAAATACCTCTTTCGCCTCAAACCCTAGTCTGGGACTATCACTGTACATAAAATATTTTCATGTATGGATTCATTTTTCAGACAAGTTTTTATCCATTTATTCACTTAAAGGCATTTTATCAATTGCGAGAATACTTCTTTTTGCTTCGAACCCTAGCCTAGTACTATGACTGTGTATAACACATTTTCATGCTTGAATTCATTTTTTTTTTGGCAAATTTTTATCAGTTTGTTCACTTAAAGAAATTTTGTCAAATGTACAAGCGCAAACTCCTTGGCATGTGCCAGTACCAATTTACCATTGAAACAAAGGAACGAAATGTTAAAGGAATTGGCTTTCGTATTGGCACATCCGTTCCCGTGTCCTTTAGTAGGAAAGCAACACTAGTTTTGTTCAATGAGACAGTTTTTTTTAAAAATTATTGTAGTAATTCATCTGGAAATTTTGCAGTGAATAACTGTAGCGTTGCTTATGAGCTAAAATTCCTCTTTTTTTCATTCCACTGGACTGTTTCTTACTCTTCCAGTATAAAAAGGTTTATTCAGCGAACAAAAATTTTTGTATAATTCATTCTTGGACAACGAAAGAGTGGGCAAGTTCAACGCAGCAGCTTATTGCAAAGACACATGGTCAGAGCTGCCCCGTGGTGCTTTATGCTATTTATTCCTCTTTTGAGCATTTCTGAAGTGAACTCACTCGCAGAGGTACCAGCAACACATGTATTCGAGTTCACTCAGTATCCTTTCTTCTGTGAGCATCGACGTGCAACAATTTTGATGAAAAATCGATGAAAATTCGCGTACTGAGGGAACATAAAAATGATGAAATGTCGACACAAAATCTTTGTCGCAGTCGGTCGTTTAAATAATGTGTTTTTGCATATTTATACAAATGCATCAAAAATGTGTGTAGACGAAAGGTTGTCGGTGCAAATGTGTTTGTACTTGTTTATGTTCAGATTTTTATCATTAATTCGAGGAACCGCGAAAGTGAAATTTTAGGAGCACGTTCCTATTCCATGTGTGATACGGCCAATTTAAAGTTAACTAACTCAGAAATACTCGTAAGGATTTAAGATGTCATTTGACGTTTGCCGAGCAATTACCTTGAACATTAAGATCTCGAACATTGCCGCTCCTAGAATATAATGAATTACCTTGCCGACTAAAGGTATTTGTGCATTCATATGAGTTAACTAACCAATAATGCACAGTGGAGGACCGCATCCGATGCGCTAGGCGTTTTGGACGCATCGATGGATGAGTGCACCAGAACACACGAGAGTTATTCATAATGGTTCTCCAATGCATCTGGCGCCGCAAACAACACAGAAACTCAAAATTCGTGGCTTTTTCCACAGCTAGAACCATCGGTCCA